CCAAGTCGCAATTCACGAAGCGATGGAACAACAAACAATTAGCATAACGAAGGCTGGTGTGAAAGCTACACTAAATGCTCGCACTTCTATTCTTGCAGCAGCTAACCCCATTGGTGGTCGCTACGATAGATCAAAATCTCTACGACATAATATTGGCTTGTCTGCTCCCATCATATCACGTTTTGATCTGTTTTTTGTGCTGATTGATGAATGCAACGACGTAAGTTCCTTAGTTTTTGTTCTACGTACCCGACTCACCTATAGGAGGCAAAGTAATCCCAATTAATAGTTGCTTCTGAACCTAGAAATTCTTTTACGGATAAAATCACACGTCAGATTATTTTGAGACCACGCATTTGTCAGATGCTTTAGGATCTTGGATGAGTTCTGTTTTGTTTTTTTGTTTATCGAAGTGATCTCACCCACAAGTTAACAATTCACAACATGACCTGAGAAGAACGATTGGGTTTCCGTCTGCTTACTAATTTTCTTACGTTCTCGTGATTGACGTAAAGTAAGTGGTATCGCGTCACATTTTGTAAATGGTAATGAGCTATTTAACAGCGACTTATTTACGAAAACCTGCTCCAGTAGTTCTCATAGTAATTTTGAACGACATTTCGGAGGAAATTCTAAAGACTTTAATTAATATAATACCGATCTCCTCATGCACTAATCTATTCAATACCCTAACTTCTCACAGGATACACTGAGATATGTCTGACAAATTACCAAACGAACTATGCTAATTTTGTGCAATGTATTTGTTTGACTGTTACGTTCCTGCTCATTACTTTTTTTTCCAGATCGTGGATTATGCTATCGCTCGTTCAATTGTAGATTTGCATATGGGGAGACATGGCGCAGAAGATACTCACACCATCTATTCAGTTGACAACATTCGTCGCTACATCGCTTTTGCTCGTTGTTTTAAACCAAAAGTATGGAATAATTTTTTTCACATTACTTCAGTATTTACTAAACTTTGCCATCAAGATAAGTATTTCAATGGTGTTTATAGTTTGTTCCCTAGCTTTCTTCAAAGACCGACAGAAAGATCATAGGGATCTAATCATAATATTCAGTCTTACCGAGTATAAAGCTTGCCACAAATACACATCCTAAGTGTTTATATGTAGACAAATTATTCGGTATCAGCATCTCGAAATGAAAGTAACAAAAATACCAAAATATTCGAAATAGTAATTGTGTAGATGATGGTAAGGAATATTAAATAGTGAAGAACCCCTACTGGGCGCTTGAACATCCTAATAGTACTTATAACCTTTACAGAGTAAGTGTAACTCACGGATGAACAGATACTTGATTACTGAGTTGCGTTTGTTTCCTGGTCAAATATTTATGTTTTTATCATAGCCAGCTTCATGTAGTATCAGTGTGTTCTGTGCTGTTTTGCAGAAGAATTATTATGGTATAAATATTAAACTATTTACTGGTCAATTTACCATATGCCGTAGGAAATATAGTTGTCTTGTTATTCATTTGAGATTACCTAGTGGTGTGGAATCATATTTTTCTAACTGCATTTTATACCATCAGATAAGCGGGGAAGCTATGGAATGCATGGTTGAAGAGTACAAAAAAATGCGTCAGAGAGATGCTTCCAGTGGGACAAAGTCTGCATGGCGCATCACTGTTAGACAGCTGGAAAGTCTTGTTCGTCTTTCAGAAGCAACAGCACGACTACACTGTGCAGATACCGTAAGATTTTTATTTCCTAAATTTTACGTATTCAACTCAAAATGACTTATCCAGTTCTTTATTGTTCGAGTTGTGGTGTATTAACGTAATGTCAACTTTAAATTTCGTTCCATATGCACGCTCGTTTATGTAAACCCTTGATTCGAAATTTTAATCTTACCTTTAAAGGCGTAAATCAACCGATATCGCCAAATGACTGATTTTTATTGTATCAAACCTTACAGTATATTTTAGGTCACTCTTGCCGATTTACAACTAGTGACGTTACTTATGTTCCGAGTTCATCACTCCTATCAGACATTACTTGTTTAGGGCACACAGTTGTGTACGGTCCTCACATTCATGCCACATTTTAGCGCGTTCAACTGAATGTTTGTACCAACGTAATCGTCAGTGTGTTGTCTTAGGGGACTGGAAATTGTATAAGTTATGAAAAATCTGATATGTAAATATTCAATAGTCATCGTTGTCATACAAAATACTACTTGAAGTGGTCCATAATATATGGAAAGTTCTGATTGATAAGAGATTTTATTCAAAGCATCTAGTTCGGTTTACTTTCTTTTCGTGACTACTTGTGTCAATAGCAATTATTCCATGGATATAGTAGCTATGTTTGAAACAGTAGACAATCTTAAGCCGGAACTAATTTTTCAGCCCGCAAATCGGAACACTGGAGGAATGGTTATAAGTACGTTGTATTTTCTTGAATCATGCCATGTGATCGTATATTTAAAATAACAGGTTTTAACTAACAATATGTACATTACTAGGCGTTTTGGCGCAAAGCTAAACAAGGCAATTATAGTTAACTGATTTATCCACAGTAGGTTAGGGAAACTGTTATTAGATCAAGCAATAGCGCAAAATCAAGTCTATAAAAAAACATCCCAAACAGATCGTTTAATAACTCCAGGTTTCATGATCTTTCCTCGCGTCTTCCTAACACCAATGTATTAGTTGTCGCTACTAACATTTTTCTTTTATACAAGTAAACCGTACTCTATTAAGAGTCTTTTGTTCTTCATAACAGGTAACACAAGCTCATGTACGGGAAGCTTTTGCTCTCTTAAACAAATCCATAATACGAGTTGAACAGCCTGATATAAATCTAGAAGAGGAAGACCAACATCAACTGACAGATGCTTCGGAAACACCAGTTATTGATCAGGTATGTATTTTTGAAAAAAATTGTGTTCTTCAAATCTTATCAAATTTCTCACTTATTTTTCCACTTTTTAATTGTTTTAACTAGCCAACTACCGAGACAAATACAACCGCTGGACATTTACGAGTAACATATGATGAGTATAGACGGATTGCTAGTCTTTTAATTTTGAGGGCCCGAAACTGGTGTGAGACCTTAGCAACAGATAGTGAGTCTGATCAAACTCCTGGTGCCCCAAAAAGGAGTGAACTAGTCAACTGGTATCTAGAAGAAGTTGTTGATGAATTTGAAACCGAAGCGCAGTTAGCGGAAGTCAAGCTTCTTGTCGAACGCATAATCGATCGCCTAATAAAAAAGGTAAGCTTATAAACACATCACTTTTCGTTACATTTGGCATTTGTTTACTTTTCGAGTCCTAGATTGGAAGTATTCATGGTGGTTCTTTTGAAACGAACTATGTAGGCCACTGAGAGCTACAAAGATAAAGATTTTCAGAATCTTAGGCTTCATTATTTAAAATTTCGGAACTAATTATCTCATTCCCATGGTACTAACACATCCAAGCTATATAATATAAATGCACTGTTCTAGGTGGTCGCTTCTATTTTACTTGGTATTTCAGCGCTTTCGTAGTACCAGTACTTTTGAATAGACTTGGTGAGTCTCAATCTCCCACAATTGATGTCGATAATTTCACCGTTTATTTGATATGGTAATGTGCAACATTAATCAACGATTATTCGCTGAAGTAATGAATCAGTTACCGCGATGGGTAGTTAAGTGTATCAGGAATCCTACAACACATAGCGGAAGTAAAAGAATATTAAAAATACAAAAACACATATTCGTTATTATATTGGAAGCTCCTTTTGAGTTTATGGATTAAGAGGATGGTAAGCAGAACATTTATGGATGGTTTTGGAATCCTTGCTTATCTTACCGCTTTCGAGTACAAACAGGTTTGTTTTATTATCTGTACCGAAAGTAAAATGAATAGGAGACCTACATACTGCTATCTATGTGAAACTGTGCAAAAACAACTTACCGCTCAAAATATAGAATTTCGAAAGTTACTTTTTCTAAAACATTCAACAAGTGATATGTCGCGACTGTGTCTGACTTCTAAGAACCCTGATGAAACCAAGCATGTTGGATGAAGAGGAATAAGTCTTATTGGTTTTAGTCAAATCATTTCTGTCCTACTTTCATAGATTCAACCAGATATTGGCTTCATCGAATCCTTGCTACTTACAAAACATACAAATTATTCGAACTGTAAGATGTAATGTTTAGTAGTTGTGAGGCATGAAGCACGCATCAAAGTGTCTTTTTACTTATGAATAAGAAATTATGTAGCCTAGTCATGTAACATTCACCTCTGCATTTCGCCCATAGCTCGACTATCAAATAAGACTGAAACATTCGCTTCAATATACGTTATTGACCAAGGCAACTACAGTATTCGTTTTGTAGTAAGTTTTGGTTGACATGGAACAAAAACAATGCAGAGCGTTAAATATTTCCTGCATTTCATAGATTTGGGGTTTTGTGATAGTAATAACAGTCGGTTAATTACAATTAAAAGGTGTTATATACTCACCAGAACACATGTGCTCTTTTGGTCACGTCTCTTCATGTAAGCAACGGGATTACGGAACTTAAGCGGAAGTGGCTGACGTACCGTGTTATTAGTTAACTTTACAATATTTTGTGCTGTTTGTATGTAGTTATGGATGTGCTTAAAAACAGTCTTATGTAAGGATATGCACTACTGGTTAATCCCACCAATGTTTTAGTGAGTTATGAGGAATTAGGTTCATTAGCAAGTGTCTTTAACAATGAATCAACTGGCTTCATGCGTACATTTAGTGTTAATGAAACAATGGAAACTTCCCTATTTCTTACAGGATAATATTCTCATAACTATTGGTGGTACAGGACTGGATGCATCTGCTGATACCGCTGATCCTTACATCGTCGTGCATCCTAATTACGTGGAGTAATTAGAACTGTTTTTCAGAAAGATGTATTTATAATCAAGATGTGCTTTTTATGTAATAAAATTTTTATTAATTATTATCCTTCCGTTGTCTACGTCTTGTGAATCGTACTATGGTTTCAGGAAACGTAAATATACAGGAGTAAGCACATTTATTTTGCGAATTAAGCACGCGATTTGTTCATATAAAAAAGGCCTGTACAAATTATATCCATCACCAACGCTTTTGTGTGCTAATGTAAAAAACTGCAACGGCTTAGAAATGCTGATATGACTTACCGTTGTTTCCTCGGATGAACGTATCACCGTATTTGTTTTTCAGCTGACCATCAACGTATTCTTCGGTCTGTTCCAACACCACATTCATATAACCGTCTAGAGAAATTAGAACACCTGCAAACTATTTAAGCTGCATGGATATAAAATTACCTCTGTAATCAGCACCTGAGTTAAGCTTAACTACCACTGGTCTCCCGACTATGAGTTTCAAGAAGTCTCTTGGTGTCTGTTTATGTGCCATCCCTTCGATTTTCTAGAAAAGAACCCATCGTTAGTGATCTAAATCTGACAGATTAATATATATAACCAGTGTTTAAACCGCTGATGAGACTGTCCAGATTGTACACTTGTTCTGTCAATGTGGGTGTTAAATTTTCAACCAGTCTGGGACAAGTTGGATATTGATCTCTCATCAAACTTACTATTATATGTAATGGATTATTTATTTATTTCTACTCTTTGCTAGTTTTTAAATCAGAGTGAATCTGATTTCCGATGGCAAATATTTCGTTTAATTAGGTGCTGAAACAGCTAGTTTTGCTAATTTCTTTCACAATCTTATCGTTGGAGTTTGGTTGTAGCGCTTCTTGATGAAATACTACCGCTTAAAACTTGTGATCAAGTCATGAAATAGTGTGCACAGTATAAATAAACAAAAATAAGAGGACAACAAACAGACTTCCCAACTAGTGACCCAGGAATGAGATACAAGTTTGTGTGTTCGGCTTTAGGCTATACTCTTAGTGTAATACTGCTCTAGTCGGATTATATATAATGGTGTTTGGGTCCTCTAACTTGTGGCTCGAAGTCAACCGCTTTTGATAACTAAACCACTACTTTGGAAAAGAAATGGGCAGTGGCATATTCAGCCACTTGAGATTTCTGTCAATCATGACTTTCATGGTTACACTGTATAAACGCTTCCGGAAGAGATAGTTGCGTACACGTGAATTTAAACTAAATTGGATCTAAATTAAATCAAATAACACGAGTTTGAAATTCGGGACTCAGGAGACGTGTATAGATCTCTAAACTAGACTGAGCTACAACTGTTGCATGAAATGAATAATGACACTTCATGAACAGGTAAACTTCGGTAGCTGGTGGTGGTTTACTGGTGGGTTGGTGTTTGTACGCTAAACCACTACTCTCCTGCGTACTTAAATGTCACTTTTTATCAAATGCCTGTCAATTCGAAATGGCCGGTGAAACAACTAGCTGTATGGAAGTTTTGAGCAGTTACGTAGCAGTCCCACATTCAACCACTATAATCTGATTGCAAGGTCTTCTTATTTTGGAAAGCTATAATGAACTTACAGATTTTGCAGACATGACCTGGGGATGAGAATGTAATTTCTACGTGCATCATAGTCTGCATTCAAAAGATCTCTAGCGTATGACCGATGAGATACTAGTGTACGACTACCAAGTTCGGGATGTGCAGACACCGCAAGTCTGCTGTTTGAGTTGCTGCAAATGACGCAGGTTTAGCTCTTGACTTCGTGATTGAAAGCAAAATACATGCACTACGGATTTATTACTTTATCAGCATTGAAAGGATCTTGTTATGTAGCTGATATCATGTGCTAATAGGACAATGAAATAAAGTCCCAGATTTTGTCTGAAGAATTCGGGTGCCACGAATCCCAGTAAACCAATCACAGGGGAGGTCACTTTAAGGGGGGTGGTTTAACGAACTTAATATAACAATGAACCTAGGAGTCACGTTTGCTTGATAAATTAGGTAAGTTTATTCAGGGAGTAAACATCGTAGATGAATAATAAGATGTTGAACTAATTGAGTTGGGATTTATTTTGTAGTTTGATTCTCATCACATGTAGGAATACCTTATAAAGACATGAATCGTGGTGGCAGGGTAGTTTTTAACAGCGAATTATTCATTTGGACAATACCTACTTGATTGGTCTACGCTGTTTTTAAAGACGCGCTGATCTCCTGCTAAATCAACCTATTTCAGTTCCATGTATTACTTTGAAGAAAAGAAGTGTAGTTACTCAGTTAATTACATCCCAGATTTTGGGGAAACCCACAAAGTCAAATGACCTTCACCAAGGTTAAAGGGAAATTTTGGGGTTTTGGTGCCATTTCCCTGAAGTTTATTATAGCGGCTTTCCCGAAATAGGGAGCTCGAAATAGATTGTCAAGCACAAATATTTCCGAGAAAGACGTGTCGAACAAATAGAAATTTCACAGTTGTCACGCAGACATGTTAATAATTAAGGAAAAGAAATGTCTTTTTCTGCCAAGTTTAAAAAGTCTCATGCACTTCAAACATTACCCAGGCTCCCAACATTGGGGAAACGACATATGTAGATATATATTGTGGGAGTTGGTAATTTTTAGCTTACAATACAGCGCAAATGCAGTAAAAACGAACGATGGTGACCCCCACATACTAAGCAACTCCCATCTCATTGAATTACCTGCACGACTGACCCAGAGAATGAATTTCCCACCTTAGTCGTAGGTTTTAAATAGTATTGTACATAATGGTTCAAAATATTTGAATAAATTGTTCAAATGGTTCTGGATGAAACGGAAGAAGCTTTCACTTAAGGGGCTACCTTATCTGGTGGTTATGAATTCGTGATGCCTCCAGGTAAGAACCTGGGTAATCTTAACAATATAAGAGAACAGAAAGATTAGCAAATCATAGTGAGATACTGTACTTAGTCCTTAAGAATATATCAAGTTTTCACCTTAAGAACTCTTTGGAAGTGGCTTGGACTAGCTCAATTGGCAGAGAGTACATATATTTAACTACTCTTAAGGAGTAGAAGGTGTGCCTTTAGTTCGTCCTGTTTTACTGTTTCTGTAGTTTCTGTGTGCTAATCCTAAGGTTTGTGTTAGGATTAAAATTAAGTATGTGTTTAAGGGGATGTTCATTAGTGTTCAGGGTGCTATACGTCATTAGAAGGTCACCTCTAAGACGCCTGAACTCTAATGGGTAAAAATTCAGTAGTTGGAGGCGCTGTTCATAAGACTTGAATTTGGATCATCGAACCGATTTCGTGGCTCGTTATCAAATGCGTTCCAGTGTGTCCTTATCCTTTTAGAGTGAGGGAAGAAAAACTATGATTCCACACTATAAATGAGATCGGACAACACCGTTGGAGATCAGGTGAAAAGTTCTTCCATCAGACTGGCCAGAAATGCACTTCAACTTTGTCATTTCAAGATTTTCCAGAAAGATATTTTTGCCGCAGTTGGCGTAAGACTTCAGATCATGAGAAATCAAAACTACAAGATCTTTTTCGACTTGAGATACCTCAAGAAAGGAGTTACCTAGTTACATTGTACCTCGAATGGAATACGTTACACTTTGAAGTGTTGCGGAAAAGTCTGTTGTTGTCTGCTTAACTTTGAAGTCGAGTCAGATCCTCCTGAAGTGTCAAAATATCCCTATGTCTGCAAACGTCTCTCAAGAGTCTCGCATTGCCAGCAAAAGGTAATGAATTAGACGGTGCCTGCTAGAGAAAGTCGTAGTTCTGAACCCTGGTGGACCCCACTTGCCTAACGTGTGGCCTGACAATAATTGAAGTTAACCCTTCTGATACACCAATTCAGTACTCAGACTCAGTCCTGAGAGTCCTGTTGAGTTGTAGGTGGATCTCTCGTCGACATAGTTGGCGTAAGCCGGTTGAACTGTCCGGAAGTACTGCTCCGCCAGAAGGTCGATGACGTCACCGTTAGTGTTGGTTGGGCCATTAGGACCTAGCAATTAGAGGACTTAGGTCTTGGCTTTTCGGAGAGAGGCTGCATAACTAAATAAGCTTTTCGGATTGGAGACAAATTTATCGATTAGCTTCATTTGACACTGAAGCCTGTCTTTTCCTTTTGCATTTTCTCATTGATTCCGTGATTTTTGAATTGCCTACATGTGTTGTTGTTGCTGGTTCATTTTCATTCCTCCCAGTAAAGCCTTTCGCATCTTAGCGAACCAATGGTGCAACTCTTGATGACTGTAAGTTGCATGTAGAATTTTGGGACCGTTTATAGCACTGTTTTGTAGGACATAAGATCATGTGCAGTAACAAGTCCCAATGAGTGTCCTCATCAATTTGAGGGTAGGCTTCTCAATCCACCTACTGTAGATTGACCTGTAAAGCTAACTCATCCAATCACTTTTAATTCCAATACTTGTTGACGTAAAGATGACTTAGCTCAGTTTTGCAGATAATATTGATGGCTTTGACGGTGTGATAACCCATGCAATAATAGAAAGGCATACATTATAAACTGGCTCAGACAACTACACCAAGACATTGAAGAAATGGGTGAACGACTACCTGAGGACTGGATATTACAGCCCAATAAGGTTAAAATCAACGCATATCGGGGATACTTCCCCAAAATAATAGGTAAACGTCAACTAGACTATAAATGCCAAAATAATAACTGCGATAGAATAGAATAATCTCAGATCTCTAATGACGTTGAAAAACCGAGCTTCATTAGATTTGCCGTCTCCATTGTACGATGAAGTTGACTTCAGAAAGATTGAAGTTTTCTAGAACCAGAACATCAGTGAATCCGAGACGAATGGAGGGAGATAATCCCTCTAGTGTACAATTGTAGTACGCGGCGTCAGCAGTGAGCTTCCGGAAGATGACTTCAACTAGAAACCTCGAGGTGTTCGATAATCTTATTAAACGTCACACAGATCCATTATGATTGGTGAATTTTAGGGTGTGCACTTGATGTGCTACCAAATAAGATCTTAGGTACAGGGCCACTTTACCTCCGTTATTGTTTTTCTCTTGTTACAAAACAAAGACATACTATGCATTGCTAGTTCCTGATCCGTAATTAAAGAAAAAAATCCACGTTTCAGGTATTATCATTACATAGTTCATCAACTTACCCACTTCATTCGGCAAACTCGTGGCGTTCATATATAAGTAGTCTATATTTTCAGTTTGAAACGCGGGAGCTTCCTCGTTTTGTATATCTGAATGAGCCTTAGGTGGATGGACAGGCAATCTACGTAAACCAGATTTTTCAAATTGATATCCCCTGTTCTTTCTACGTGTTTTCCATGATCTTGACAGTCTAAAAATGGAATAGTCAAGTCCGAGTGATTGGTTTTTGCAACATGTGACCTATCCGGATGCATGTCGAGTCCATTCGGTAACCGATGTCTGCTGGTACAAAATTCTTAGAGAGTGACGGCCGCCAGACAGGAGGACAAGAAGATTAATTTCATAGGCCGTGATCTTGAATTTCCGTCTTCTTTGAGTAATATCACCAATAGTTTGATTAATATCCCCTTCAAAGGTTTCTTTGTGATTTCTCACTCTGCAATATCATAGTCTGCATAGTCAGGGTTCGCTTTTTCTGGGACACCTTGCGTAATGCTATTTCTTCCATGAAAGAGCGCTTCTTGATATTCCTTGGGGATGTTCCTGGCAAAATTTCGCCCACAATATGGTGTATCAGGCGGCTTTTATACGCCCCTTTTGATTTCAGCAAGAGAGTGGCCAGTAAAAAATCTCCTACATAACGTAGCATTGGTGGAAGTTACTCCAAAGAGTCTTGGATGGATTTTGTGTTTGGAAGCCTTGCCTCAAGTGAACCGTCCAACCCTAAGTGTCTCGATTTGCGGAAGTTTGATGTTATTGTTGAACTCACACCAGAGCATCCCATCACTTTTGTTCCACAAACCAGTGAGGAGGTCAGAGCTGTCCCAAAGTTTGGTAGAGTTATGATTTATTTCGGTGTTGATACTACTTTGATAATATACGTAATCCCACAATTGTAGATATGTCATGACGTTACTGCCTAATCTTTAAAAACACATTTGGGCTGTGAATAGAATAGTATATTTTATGTAAATAGCGATAAGTTGCACACAACTATCACTTCTGCGAGGCTGAGTAATGCCATCTAACTGAATGAATGTCCCCGCGTTTACCATTTTTGACCTTCATCAAGCGTTGCATGTTGAATGCAAATGTTTTCAATAATTATATGCTCGGCTTCAAAGATCGTGTGGTTTGGAGTGAATTCCACTACAGGTTCATAATTGTGAGAGGAGTTCACAACGCAGAAGAAACTAATTCTAATGTAGATGGTGTCCATCCTTTTAAAAATGTTGATTTAAATATAACACTATGATGTCATTCTGATAACGAGTCAAATATTACAGTTCAAATCCCTGTCAGTGCAACACACACAAAAACTGCGCAACGGCTAATGAGAATATAGTCATAACATTTATGTAACGGGGAACGCACTGAACGTCGGTATATTGGAGTCCTGCAAACCATTGCATTTATGTTTAGCAACACTCGATTGTCCTCAAATTACGGTGGAGCTAAAAACAAACCACAAACCTTGGAAATAAACGTCTTCAACATGTTACACATACATCAGGTATAAAAATTAATTCGAATTACAAACGGCTACTTGGTCGGACACATAGCCCTGGTAGCCTTCTTAGCCCGGCTTCCAGAGTGTAAACTTTGTCTATCAGATTTTATAATCACTAACAATCAGGATACATTTTTGCACTTCCTCTGGCTTTTCTGCTGGCAACGATAAATATATTACAAATGATTACAAATTTGTTGAATGTAATTCCCCTCATAACACAAGTCCTATGTTAGCTAATCCCACGAGTATTCATGGAACTACACTCGTGATCTATACTCTAACGTGATTCACCATGACAACTCTCAGTCTCTTATTCTTTCATTCAATTCCTGTTCTATTTTCAATAAAGTTACTAATCTTAAAACTCTCTTATTCCTTGTAAATCCAACTATTGTACTTGATACAGAAACGTGATGTGACTTATCTATTTTTAATCACTCCTCACACGTAAGTAACTAAAGTCTCAGCGAGACTATAAATTATGGACGAACCAATCAGATATAAGATAGCAGGGCTCAGATTTTGGCGCGAATTTCACTCATGTCAGTTAGTGATGACAACCTTAGATCTAATTCCTAACCCCAATCACTAACTGAAATTCATAATTCTAATTCCTCACACTGGTTTATAACCCTCATTTGGTTCTGGTTATTAGGTGTACACTCTCAAGGTCACTTTATCGTCGCCCAAAGGTCGTCCACAAATTATAGCCTCACCACGTTTTCTTTCGAATCGACAGACGTCATGGAATAAGAAGTGATACAATTAATAGTAATATATTTCTGCATGAGCAAGTACACACCATTTTTACAGACATGATCTACAAATTGCAACATTTGTTGGCCCACAGCATGCTTCTCAACTTATTAAGTTTATAGTTGTTATAAAGTACACTCGTAGAGCGCTTGCTGTAGACCATGACCTTGAGGAGACGCGTACGTCAAGTTTGTTCCAGACGTCAGAAGTTCCATAGCTGTGCCCTCGGGGCAAGATTCTGACGGAGAAATGAGAAACAGAAGAGCAAGTAGAAACTTGGATATGAACGCCAAACGCTGCTTAACATTTTGTAGCAGAACAGACA